TCGATGGACACCGCGATCTTGTCCGAGATGGCGGGCGCCAGCTTCTTGCTCAGCCTGGCGGTGACCAGCTTGCCCTTGGCCGACGCGCGGCCGCGCGGGGCTGCGAAGCTGGCCGCCTGCGCGGAGCCCGCGACGCCGCAGGCCGCGCATGCCGCGCGCGGCATCTCGCGCACCAGGTCGGCCTCGCGTTGGGGCCGCAGCTGCGCCAGCATGTGCGCGTCCAGGCCGTCGCGCCTGAGCCGCTCACTGTGCTGGAGCGCAGCCGCGGTGATCGAGCCAGGGCGCTCGCCCGTGCGCTCGACCCACCTGCGGCGGCTGCGCCGCCTCTTGCCAGGGGGCCCTCGCCAGTCGCAGGAGAGCTTCACCGCTGGCTGCGCCGTCGCCGCCTTCGGCGCAGGGCGGTTCGGCTTGGCCACGCGGCGCGCGGTGTCCCTGCCGCCCGTGGCGCCGCCCACCGCCGAGACCCACATGCCGGCGCCCTCGACCAGCTTGTCCGCCATGTCGCGGCGATGTCGACCAGCGTGCCGAATGCGTCCAGCAGCCGCTGTCGACTTCGCAGACCTGTCGGCGTGGTGGTTGCCCAGCCAGTCCTCGTGAGTGATCTCGCCGCGGTCGATGGCCCCCATGGTCTGGTGAGCGGGCGCCTTCCTGAGCAGCAGCCCGTCGCGCCCCAGGCCGCCGAACTCGCCCAGCAGCCTCCAGACCTCCCCCCAGAGGTGGGCCCACGCCGCGCCATGCGCGGCGGTGCGCTTGGGCCCGAGCTCCAGGAGGCCGCGACGCACGAAGCCGCTGTCCACGACCACGGCGACGGGCGGCATCGCGAACCTGAGGGCCATGATGAGCGCCGTGAGCCCGCCGCCGCCGATGTCCGCGCGCGGCTCGCACAGCATGCCCGACGCCCCGCGCGGGTAGATGTCCGCGCCCTGCTCGAGCGCGACGACGGCCCGGGCCACGCTGGCATGCCGCTCGTAGTCGCCCTCGAACTGCGCGCCGTCAAGGAACAGCTCGCCTGGCGCGAGGTGCCCGTCGCACTCGCCCAGCCAGCAGATGCGGGGGCGATGGGCTGGGCTTCGCAATCCCCGACGGGGCTGGCCACAGGCAGGCGCGTCACCTCGAGCAGGTCGGCCTTCTCCAGCAGCGCGCTCACCTTGTTGGGCAGGCGCAGCTCGGGTGGCCATCCAGCGCAGCCGCAGTGCCTGTGGAGGAGGGTGCCGACACGCGCCGCACAGCAAGCACGAGTCGTCCACGGCCATGCCCTGCTCGTACTTGCGGCTCTGACTCGACTGCCCGTCTGCCACCGCCGAGGCGAGGTACCCGCGCTCCTTGGGTGTCAGCCTGAGCGTAGATTGCTTACCAGCATCCATGCGATTCGGCCCATGGTCCATCCGCGCCGTTGGGACATCCTCAGTACGTGGCGACGCTGACCCCAGCCCAACGGGTTCTGACACTCTGCCAGCTCTCGACTCACCTCCGCGAAATCGCCGCGCACGAGTATCCAGCCCACCTCGCTAAGGCCCAGCTTCGCCGCAAACCTGGGGCCCCAGCTTCCCCGCGACCTCCTCCGAAGTGGTTGCGGCCCTGCTGGGCCTGCCTCTCGTGCGCGGCTCCTCCGAAGACGTCCTCGCGCCAGACGGCGCGGCTGCCTGCTTTCCGCTCGACGGCGACGACCGTTGGGGAGCGGGCTCTGACGCCAGCTCAGGGCAGACCGCTGCCGCCAGCGGCGTCACAGGCGCCGCAGCAGCGGCCCCGCGAGCAGCAGCTGCAGTGCGCCTGCCAGGCGGAGCGCCGAACTCCGCCTCCGCTTCGATCATGGAGCGCGCGTGCCGCGCCACCTGCTCTCCCCACTCCTGCGCGTCGGACTGGGCCAGCCTGCGCGCGTCGGCGTGGTGGCGGGCCCGAATGCGCCGCCGTGCTGACCGGGCCGCCTCGCAGAAGTCCTGCGCCATCCTGAGCCTGACCACGCCCAGGTTGTCGATGCCGATCGTGCGCGCAGCCTCACTGACGAGCGGCGTCCACGTTCCATGCATTAGCAGGTCGGCCACGTGGGACACTCGGACGCAGCCGGTGCGCTCTGCCCCCAGCTTCGTCGAGCACAGAGACGCCCTGGAGCCAGAACGTGGCGTGGGCCCTCAGTCTCCTCTCGAGCGCCATGCGCGCAGACACGGCAGCCCGCCGTGCAGGGTCCTGGTCTTTGGCCTCCATGATCTGCAATTGTCCCCCAAAGACGCCGTTGCGGCTGACGGCGCCTGCGGTGGCCATCTTGATCAGGGGCTCGATCACGCCGCCGTTGGCCGGGTGCTCGAGACTCGCCCCCTCGCTAACCTCGCGCCGCTGCCGCGCTTGCACCGCCCGCAACAGGAGGCGCTCATCGATCCGGGAGGCCAGCCCGAACGCTCCGACGTCGTCTCCTTCGCGCGCGCGCCAGGTGGCGGCGTCGAGCGCCTGAGCAGCCGACCCGCTCGAGGGGGAGTCGCGCTGCGCTGGAGGGCCCGCGCGCCAGGCGGTCACGCCGTAGGCGATTATGCGCTGGGGGGGGCCAGCTTGCCCAGGCCGCCCGCGGCGGCGCCATGGTGGCAAGGGGCGTGGCCCTGATCATCGGGTCGAGCACGGGCGTCAGCATCAGGGTGGGCGCGCGCGACCGCCCAGCCGCGCTGGGCGCGACCGCCTCGAACGACTCCGCCCTCGGCGCGCCCAACTTCATGGCGGCGCGGCCTGCGACGGCGACGCCGTAGGTCACGCCGGGCTCAGTGCCAGCCCTGGCAACCTTGCGCACGGCCTTCCTGCGCCCCGCCCCTGTCTCGAGGGTCGCCACGCGGCGTTGACGGAGCCCTGCCTGCGCGTCAGCTTCTCCTGACGCACCTTGCGCGCGACGTGCCTGCCACGCGAGAAGTCGACGCCAAGGTTGCGCTCGCCCTTGACCGAGACCACGCCGAGCGGCCAGCGCAGACGGGCTGCCAGGCCGCGTCGAGCAGCTGGAAGGTTCGCCAGCGCCCTCGACTTCTTGACCGCCATGTCGAGGTCCACGTCCATGAGTGGCGTCTTGAGCTCGAAGGCTGCCTCAGCGACCTCCTTCGTCACGCGCGCGAGCCCGCCGACTCGATGCAGCATGAGGTCGTCCACGGCTACCGCCAGCGACATGGGCGGGCGCTGGGTGACCAGGCGGTCGAGCGGCCCGATCGGTATGAGCGTCAGCAGCGAGGTCGCGAAGCCGCCGCCAGGCTGGATGGACTGCATTGCCTCGATCACGCTCGAGGCCGCGCAGCCCATGCAGAGGGCCCTCGGCGCGCAGCGCAGCTCCGGCGTCAACCTGAGCTGCCGCAGCGGGAAGCCAGTGGCGATGGCAGCGCCCAGCAGCCAGCGGTGACGCACTTGCTCAAACGCCCCGAGCAGGTCGAGCAGGACGGCGACCGCCACCCAGGACTTGGCGCCGCCGCAGTCGGCACCCCGCTGCGTGGCCCACTCCCCGATCGCAGCTTGATGCCACACGGCCCGCTCGCAGCTGCGGCCAGCCGTCGCCCGCCAGCATGGGCGATCGTTCGCCTCCTCTCACTTGCGTGCGATGCCACGCCGTAGTCGCGCCTGCACCCTCGCCAGCACCATGACGACGGCGATGGGCCTCACGCCGCCAAGCCGCTTCTGGATGAAGCCGATCTTGGTGGCCATGAGCGGCCAGGAGGCGTCGCGTTCGATCGCCATGAGGACGCCGATCAGGACCGCCAGCGCCTCGTCGCACAGCTCGTCCAGCTGCCGCGGCCTCGCGGCACAGAAGGACATGCCCGTGGTCGCACTGAAGGAGCGCAACACCTCGCGCAGCTCCTGGACTGTGGGCCTCGGCGGCCCCTCGCCCAGGTCCGAGGGCGAGGGCCCGTGCAAGCGCATCGGCTCACAGGAGGTCCTCCACCAGCGACTCCACTCTACCTCGAGCTGCGTCGCCTGCTGCCCGAGATCCAGGGGCTCGAACAGCTGCCTGCAGTCGCCGAGGGCGTCATCGTTCTCGGCGTCGCCGATGGGGCTCGGGTCGAACCCGATGGGCAGACGGGAGACAGCGTGAAGACCACCACCTCCACCTGCGGCCTGCTTCTCGACCCACTGCTGAAACTGGATAGTCCGCTGCGCCATGTCCCGCTCCACCATCTCCAGCGCGACCGCGTGCGCGCCCGCGCGCAGCTGCTGCAGCACGGCAGGGCCCAGCAGGGACAGGCGCAAGTTGCTAAGCAGCACCCACCAAGCCACAGCTCGGAGCAGCACCTGAGGGCAGGGCAGGGCAGAACCTCGCCGTCGTCAGGTGTCGCCCTCACTGTGGCAGGGGCTCTGTCTATCAGTCTGCGCACATTTCGAAGAGCGTCGAGGAGGAGGAGGAGAAGGAGGAGGAGGAGGAAGAAGAAGACGATGATGATGAAGAATAATAATAATAAGACTAATAGTAATAATACTAGTAATACTACTAATACTACTAATAATGATACTAATACTAATACTAAACACAATCATAACAATACTAATAATAACAACAATAATAATACTAACCATAATAATACTAATACTAGTAATACTAATACTCATCAGAAGAAGAAAAATAATAAGACTAGTAGTAATAATAATAATAAGAATAATAATACTAATAATACTAATAATACTACTAATAATAATAAGAAACATAATAATAAGAATAATAAGAAGAATAAGACGAATAAGAATAATAATAAGAATAATAATAATTAGAGGAGGAGGAGGAGGAGGAGGAGGAGGAGGAGGAGGAGGAGGAGGAGGAGGAGGGGGGATGGGAGGAGAGGAGGAGGAGGAGGAGGCGGAGGAGGAGGACGAGGAGGGGGAGGAGGAGGAGGGGTGGGAGGGGGAGGAGGAGGAGGAGGAGGGAGGAGGAGGAGGAGGAGGAGGAGGGGAGAGGAGGAGGAGAGGAGGAGGAGGAGGAGGAGGAGGAGGAGGAGGAGGAGGGGAAGGGTGGATTTTCTGCTCTCTACCCAGCGCGCGCCGCCTGTCGCAGGGGCGGGGGGGCGGCGACCGCGGCGCGCGCCCGCGGGCGCCTTCGGCCGCCCGAAGGCCTCGCCCCTTCCCCCCCTCCGCGGGCGGCGGCGAAGTGGCAGTCGCCGGGCAGCCGTCGGACCGTCGTCGTCGTCGCCGTCGCCGTCGTCGTCATTGGCGTCGTCGTCGGCGTCTGTCGTCGGTCGGTTGGTCGCTCGGTTTGCTGTTGCCGTCGTCGTCGTCGTCGTCGTCGTCGTCGTCGTCGTCGTCGTCGTCGTCGTTGTTGAATGCTAAGTATTAAACAATACGTAAGTATTGTTGGACGCAACCCAGGCGCCTTGGCGCTCTCGCCTGGGCGCCAGCTACATTTTCATTGGGAAATGAGGCTGACGCTGGGGCGGTTTGGGGGGGCGCCAAAACCGCCCCCCCAACAACAACAACAACAACAACGCTCCCGCTCGAGACTTCCTCGTTTTTTACTCACGGCCAGTGCTCTTGCTCGCCGCCGAAAGCCGCCGTCCCAACAAAACAAGCGCTACCGCTCGGGACTTCCTCCCGTTTTACTTTGGACTGGCGCGCTACTCTTTCTCTCATCGGCGCCGCTCCCAGTAACAACAACGCTCCCGCTCGAGACATCCTTACTTTTTACTCAAGGCGGTGTTCCTCCTCGCCGCCGAAAGCCGCCGCCCCGACAAAATCAGCGTTCCCGCCGGAGACTTCCTCCCGTTTTACACTGGACTGGCGCCTTATTTTTTTGTTGTGCAGTGGCGCCGTTCCCAGCAAGAACGCAGCTTCAGTTCGAGGCTTCCTCCTTTGTTCCTCAGCCCCCGTCCCGACAAAACCACGGCTCCCGCTCGAGACCTCCTCGCTTCTTACTCAAGGCGGTGTTCCTCCTCGCCGCCGATAACCGCCGTCCCAACAAAACAAGCGTTACCACTCGAGATTTCGGTTTGTTTTACGCTGGACTAGCGCCCTACTCTCTTCAGCATTGGCGCTGCTCTCAGCAGCAACAGCGGCCTTGCTCGAGATTTCCTCTTTTTCTATTCAGGGCCAGGTCCTTGCCTCGCCGCCGACAGCCCCCATCCCCACCAAAGCAACCCTGTCGTTCGATACTTCCTTGTGCTTTACCCTTGGCCGGGGCTCCACTGGCGGTCTCGCATCGGCGCAGCAAGGCGCGGGCCTGCGTTTTCGAGGCGGGATATGTTGAATGTCTTCGGAGGAGGTGTTTGCAAGACCTCACCGCTATAGAACAATAGTCCCACATGATGGGGTTGGTTATCGTGGCGGTCACATGTTTCGTGTGGAAACATCGCGTGAGGGTAAACTGATTGTTGTTGTTGTTGGTGGTGGTGTTGGTGTTAGCGTTGTTGTGGTGTTGTGATGTTGTTGCTGTTGAACTTTCATTTCTGAAGAATTAGTATTTGTGATCCCTCTTCACCCCTGCATGCTGTTTTTCTCAGTCAAAGTGTACCCCTCGACGCTCGCACCCTCTTTTCTTAAACAAGGAAGGTCTGCCTGATCAAACTGTGCCCGTGACCCCCCGGAATACAACAACGGCGCCCGCCTAAGATTTCTTTCAAATTTACTTAGTACTTCCCCCTCCCGTCTGAGACTTCTTCCCAATTTACTCAGGAACGGCGCTCCCGTTTGAGACGTCCTCACATTTGAGTCGGGGTCAAACTGCGTTGTTGCCCCCCCGGACTACAACAACAACGGCCGCACCATTGACGTGCCCCCCCTGGGGCCCGCCTGCTTCCCGGGGTCCGGCAAGCCGGCTCTTCAGCCAGCCATGCCGATAGCCCGCGCGACTGCCTCGTCGCCTGCCGGGGGCCAGCCTGTCGGCCCTTCAGCCCCCGCCCTCCTCCCTCTTTTCTCTCCTCCTTCCCTTCCTGCCTGCTTGCCTGCCTGCCTCCGTCCTCCTCTCTCTCTCCTCCTCCTCCTCCTCCTCCCTCCTCCTCCTCCTCCTCCTCCTCCCTCTCCTCCTCCCCTCCTCCTCCTTCCTCCTCCTCTCCCTCCTCCTCCCCTCCTCCTCCTCCTCCTCCTCCTCCTCCTCCTCCTCTCTCCTCCTCCTCCCTCCTCCTCCTCCTCCTCCTCCTCCTCCTCCTCCCTCCCTTGGCTCTTGTCTCTTCCGCGTCGCAGTGCAGGCGTTGCCGTCGTTCGGAGCCCTGCGAGTGTTACGTAAAACGCTTTTGAAGCCAGGGGCCCGGTGTGACCCGTCGCCCATGCTCCAGGCCCGCGCCCTAGCTATTGAGCAGCTCGGGCGGCGTAGCCAAGGGGGCGGGGGGGCTGCTGGGGGCGCTGCTGCTGCCGGCGGGGCGGTGGGGATTGGGCCCTTCTTCGAATGTGACGGCCGTGAGGTCCAGCGTTCGGGGCCATGTTTGTTGTGCGTTCGATGTGGGGCTCGCGTGGCCATCGGTTCTCCCAAAATCGATGCCGTTGGGGAAGTTTGCCCCTCGCGCCCCCCGAACCCCGCCCGTTGTAGAGCCAGGGGCTCGCGCCCGTCGTGGCCCCATATGCATGCCGTTCGTGGCCCCGATGTCGCCCCTTGTGGCCCCCTCGCTGCCCTTCGTGGCACCGGCGCTGCCCTCAGCGGCCCCGGCGCTGCCCTCAGCGGCCCCGTCGCTGCCCTCTGTGGCCTCGGATTTTACGCCCTTCGTGGACCACGCTGTTTTTTCCCCACGATTTACTTGGGAATCGCGTTCTCGCTCGAGACTTCCTCGCGATTCATGCAGGACCCACGCTTCAGCAACCCGCCTGCTCGACCTCGTCGCCTGGGCCTGCCTTTCCGACCTGCCCGCTACCCACCCGATCTGCCCGTCTGGTTATACCACTTGTTTTGTGCTCCTTGCCCCCCTCCTGCTCACTTCTCTCGTGTTTTATTATTGTCCCTCCCATTCCACCCGTCCTCTCTTCCCTTGTTTTAGGGACTGCATTAAATACACGTGGCAGGTAAGGAAGATGTTCCCCTAGGGGGTACGATCGCAGACGACGAGGGCGGGTACCGAGGGTTTGGGATATACGTATTGATTGGCACGTGAGCAGATAGGAGCGAACAGTCTTAAAATGGCTGTTGAATGTTAACAACTAAACAACTGTAACTGTTGAACACCTTAAACGCGCTCTGGCGCTTTCGCCGAGGCGCCGGCTACTTTTTCATTGAAAATGAGGCTCACGCTCGAGCGTTTTGGGAGACCGCCATAACCGACCCCCAACAACAACGGTCCCGCTCGAGACTTCCTTCTTTTTTACTCAGGGCTGGTGTTCTTGCTCGCCGCCGAAAGCCGCCGTCCTAACAAAACCAGCGCTCCCGCTCGAGACTTCCTCCCGTTTTACCTTGGACTGGCGCTCTAGTTTTTCTCTCATCGGCACCGCCCCCAGCAAAAACAACGCTCCCGCTCGCGGTTTCTTCTTTTTTTTGCTCAAGGCGGTGCTCCCCCTTCGCCGCCGAAAACCGCCGCCCCGACAAAACCAGCACTCCCGCCCGAGACTTCCTTCCGTTTTACGCTGGGCTGGCGCCCACCTCTCTTTTGAATTGGCGCCGCTCCCAGCAAGAACAACGCTCCCGCTCGAGGTTTCCTTTCTTTTTCCTCGGGACGGTGCTGGTCCTCGCCGCCGACAGCCCCCGCCCCGACAAAACCACGGCTTCCGCTCGAATGTTCCTCCCTTCTTACTCAAGGCGGTGTTCCTCCTCGCCGCCGAAAACCGCAGCCCCGACAAAACCAGCGCTCCCGCCCGAGACTTCCTCTTCCGTTTTACGCTGGACTGGCGCCCAATTCTCTTTTGAATTGGCGCCGCTCCCAGCAAGAACAACGCTCCCCCTCGAGATGCCTTTTTTTTGTCCTCGGGACGGTGCTGGTCCTCGCCGCCGACAGTTCCCGTCCCGACAAAACCACGGCTCCTGTTCGATGCTTCCTCCTTTCTTATTCAAGGCGGTGCTCCTCCTCGCCGCCGAAAGCCGCCATCCCAACAAAACCAGCGTTCCCGCCCGAGACTTCGCTTTGTTTTACGCTGAACTTTTGCCCTACTCACTTCAGCATCGGCGCCGCTCCCAACAACAACAACAACAGCAGCCCTGCTCGAGACTCCCTCCCTTTCTATTCAGGGCCAGTTCCTTGCCTCACCGCCGACAGCCCCCATCCCCACCAAGGCAATCCTGTTGTTCGATACTTCCTTGTGCTTTACCCTTCGCTGGGGTTCCACTGGCGGTCTCGCATCGGCGCAGCAAGGCGCGGGCATGTGTTTTCGAGGCGGGATATGTTGAAATTCTTCGGAGGAGGTGTTTGCAAGACCTCACTGGGCGGGAGATCTGGGAATGGGAATATCGGACCCCGCTATAGAACAAGAGTTCCCCAATGCGTGGATGGTTATCGTGATGGTCGCATGCTTCGTGTGGAAACATCGCGCACGAGGGTAAAATGTTTGTTGTTGTTGGTTGCTGGTTGTTGTTGGTTATTGTTGTTGTTGTTGTTGTTGTTGTTGTTGTTGTTGTTGTTGTTGTTGTTGTTGTTGTTGTTGTTGTTGTTGTGTCGTCGTGGTCGTCGTCGTCCTCGTCGTCGTCCGTTGTTGGGCGTCGTTGGTCGTCGCCGCCGTCGTCGTCTGTCGTCGTTGGTCGTCGTCGTTGGTCGTCGTCGTCATCGTCGTTGTCTGTCGTTGGTTGTCGTCGGTCGTCGTTGGTCGTCGTCGTCGTCGTCGTTGTCTGTCGTTGGTTGTCGTCGGTCGTCGTTGGTCGTCGTCGTCGTCGTCGTTGTCTGTCGTTGGTTGTCGTCGGTCGTCGTTGGTCGTCGTCGTCGTCGTCGTCGTTGTCGTCGTCGTTGTCGTCGTCGGTCGTCGGTCGTCCGCCGTCCGTCGTCCGTCGCCCGTCGTCTGTCGTCGTCGTCTGTGGGGTGGCCCGTTCCAGGGCGGGCCCCTCGCCCTCGTGACGGGGGAGGGGTGAAAGGGGAGCTGAGGGGGGAGGGAGGGAGGAGGAGGAGGAGGAGGAGGAGGAGGAGGGGGAGGAGGAGGACGAGGAGGAGAAGGAGGACGAGGAGGGGAAGCTCTCGGCCCCCAGTGCTTCTGTTCGTTAGGGGGTCTTTCTTGTAGTCTAAGGTAACTTGGCCCCAGTGGCGGCCCGGCGGGCTCGTCGCCGCCTGTCGCTGCGTTGTTTTGCATTGCGTCCCATTGCTTTGCACCGCTTCGCACCGCTTCGCAGCGCTTCGCAGTGCTTCGCATTGATTCGCATTGCTTTGAGTTGCGTTGCGTTGCGTTGCTGCACATTTCGTTGCATTGCCTTGCGTCGCTTTGCGATGCGTTGCGTAACTTTGCATTGCTGCATTGCGTTGCATTGGTTTGTATGTCATTGCTCTGCATTGTGGTCCATTGCTTTGCATTGCTTTTCCTTGCGTTGCATGGTGTTGCTTCGCATTGGTTCGCATGGCAGCACTTTGGATAGGATTGTATATGTTTGCATTGATTTGCATGGTTTTGTAATGCTTGCCACTGCCTTGCATTGCCTTGCATTGTATTGCGTCGCATTTGGTATGCAAAACTTTGTACTGCTTTGCATTGCTTTACATTGATGTGCACCAGATCCATTGCACCACATGGTTTGCACCACCTAGACTGCACTACACTGATTGGATTGCACCACGTAGCTTGCACCGCATAGATTGCGAGCAACCACTGCTTGGGGTCCACGCTGGGACACTTTGAATTATCATTGATAATGCAACTTAGTAGTAGTCTTACTTTGTTGGTTGTGTTCTTGTGTGTGACCATAGTATGACTGTGGGTCTTCTCTTTCGCATTACCAGTATTAGCACGAGTCGTCGAATTTGTTCCATCTGGCACTATCATGTTCCTCGGCGCCTTCTTTTACTTGCCATTATTCCTCTTCCTTCTCCTCGTTCTCCTCCAATGCCCCCCCTTCAGCCACTCCACCTTTCTCGCCCTCCCCTCCCTCCAGCCCCTCCACCCCCATCGAGGCCTCCTCCCTCCCCCCCTCCTTCCATCCCCCCTTTCCCCCTCCCCGTCCTCCTCTCCCCCCCTCCTCTCCCTCCCTCCTCTGTCCTCCCCGCTCCCCCAGCTCCCCTGGCCCTCTCTCCCCGCCTCCCCTGGCGGCCGCCCGCTTCCCCCCCGAGGCCCTGCCAGGGCCCCGCCGTGGGGGCGCCCCTCTCGCCGCCCGATTGGCGGCCGAGTGCGGCCCCGCCGCCCCGGCGCGCGGCCATGGCGGAGGAGAAGAACCCGCTCTCGGAGGCGTCGATGCAGGCCTGCGGGCGCGGTCGTCGGGTCCGCCGCCGCCGCGGTCGGCGCCAGCGCCGCGGTCGGCTCGGCGCGCGGTCGGCTCGGCACCGTTGCCGCCGGCGGAGGAGGAGAGGGGGAGGAGTGGAAGGGGGGAGGCAGGAGGATGACGAGGACGACTGGCCTCCTCCTCCCCACCCACGTTGCCTGGACATGGATCGAATGATCGTTGCGCCTAGGTTATCCTCATCCGTCTCATCCTCTCCCGCTTTTTTCCACTAGCTCCTTCTCCTCCGCCGCGGCCTCCTCTTGGGCGCGGAGGGTGGAGCACGAGGAGGTGGAGCAGCAGGACGGAGGGGAGGAGGAGGCGGAGGAGGAGGAGGCGGAGGAGGAGGAGGAGGAGGAGGTGGCGGAGGAGGAGGCGGAGGAGGAGGCGGAGGAGGAGGCGGAGGAGGGAGGAGGAGGCGGAGGAGGGGGAGGAGGAGGACGACGAGGACGAGGACGAGGACGAGGACGATGAGGAGGAGGAGGAGGAGGAGGAGGAGGAGGAGGAGGAGGTGGCGGAAGAGGAGTTGGAGGAGCAGGAGGAGGCGCGGAAGAGGAGTTGGAGGAACAGGAGGTGGAGGAGAGGAGGAGGAGGAAGAGGAGGAGGAGGAGGAGGAGGAGGAGGGAGGAGGAGGGAGGAGGAGGAGGAGGAGGAGGATGTGGAGCAATGCGGAGTGATGCGGGTCAGACGGGTCGCGATGTCCCAAGATATCGCGCCGCGGGTTGCCTGGCCGTTTCGGGCCGTCCCCGAGCCGAGCCAGAAAACCAGTGCCCTCGAGGGCGTACCTCAGAAGGGCCTTCATAGTGGTGGGGTGCAAACCTTCCCACAGACGATTCAGCCTACCCCCAATTACCCTTTGGACCCCATGGCGACATGGGGAAAACAGGCCCGACCACCTGTCGCGGGCGTACCTGGCACACCTGCTACAGAAAACAACATTTCGGCGGAACAGGAGTTTGTGCCCCCCGCCCCCATCGTTTGCTTGACCCTGACGGCCCCCCCAGTCCAGAGCGGCCCGAGAGAGGGGGGTGGCAGTCAGGGGTGGGGCAAGGGGCTCCGGGGCCCCTTCACCCGCACCGCCAGCCGTCCCAGGAGGCCCAGGGGGGTCCAGAAGCTCCAGGGCGGGGTCGCGGGGGTTCGTATCCGTCGGCGGGCTCGAGCCCTTCTCAGTGTCGACGATATCGCTACCTAGGACACCTACATACGCGGCGAATTCGATGATGTCTTGAAAGCTTATATTTCTGAACATAAGCATTCCTAATCCAGACGGGGTGGGTATGGTACGTGGCCCCCCGTTTGGCATAGTGGTCCGCTATTTTATTGCCATCCCACCTCTCACGGCCGACTGCTTCACGCTCTGCCCGCGAGGCGTGAGCCTTTTCTCTACAGACTTGCACGCTGGGGCCCAGTCCGTCGAGCTCGGCGAGAGCCACGAACATCTGTTCCCAGAGGTCCAGGTGGAGGAGGCTCTTCCTGTCGAGCCTGCTGGGTACCTCCAAGGTGCTGTCAATTACGTTCTGGAAATCCGTGAAGATCCGCAGCTGGGGGGCTCCGAGCTTCAGCGCCTGGCGTTCCGCGTCGAACTCGGCCCGCAGGATGTTCTGTGTCCACTAGGGCCCTGGGAGCGGCCCATAGCACACGTACTCCAGCTCGTAGCTGTCGTTCTGGAGCCTGGCGAAGCTCCAGCCTGCTCTCCGCAGCGGGGCGTAGTCGCCGAACTGCAGGGAGCTGCCGGTGAAGATATCTCCTGTGACGAAGCCAGTCCTCCTCCTCTTCCTCCTCCTTCTCCTCCTCCTCCTCCTCCTCCTCCTCCTCCTCCTACAGTCGCCCTCTTACAGGCAGACGTCGCACGACTCCAGGCTCCACAAGCTCAGCTCCACGGCTGGGTCAGCCGTAGGACCACGGCCCCTGAGGCCCCCTGCCCCTGCGCCTGGCCACGGGCTGGCACCCCGCTGCGCGAGGTGGCGCCCTCCCACCTGCTCTCGAGTGTGATGCCGGGCTGGGCCGACGAAGGTCCGATGGCGATCCGTACCCTTGGCCGCTCCACATGCCCTGCGGATGTCGTCGCCCGCGGCCCCCTTAGCTTAGAGGCGCGCTCGGGGCCGCATGCCACCTCAGAAGGGGCCCCGCACCCGAGTGCGGTGAGCCTGTGTCCACCGGCCTTGCAGAGGCCTCCGCAGCAGCGCCCGCGCCGGTGCGATGAAGGTGGAGTTGATGCCGCAGGCGTCCCCGTGCTCCTGCACCCAACTGTCCTTTAGCTGCTGCTCGGTGGTGGTGACCACGTAGTGGTGATTATCCTGCAGCCTGGTGTAGCGCAGGTCGTAGACGGTGCTGCCGATAGTGATGCTGCTCGCCGTCTGCGTCATCCAGCTCAGCCGCCGCACCGTCGCGATGAAGGCCCCCGCTGGCCCTCGTACCAGAAGCCAGGGGGCCTTGCCGTTCGCTATCTTCATGACCCACGTTCGCCATGCATTCGTGAGCCGCTCCATCATCTGGTTGTCCAGGCAGCCTCTTGCCATGCCGTCGCACACGCCAGGATGGGACTGCTGTTGACCAGGTTGCCTGGGTCCACGTCGTCACTCAGCAGTGTGAAGGCCTCGGACCTGCCCATGGTGTTGCCCTGCATCGCCGTCGCTACGCCGGTCCTCAGCTCGTTGAGCTTGGTGTCCGCCATGCCAACGACCGCGGAGCCGTAGAGGTGCTGGCACCTTGGCGTGTCGCAAGATCTTGTGCGCTGCTCCTCCTGTGCTCCGCACGGCTGTCACCCATGATGATTTCGCCGCAAATTTGGGCGCCCGCCCCGCTTGTTGATGGCGGCTGCCGTGACGCCGAGGTGCTTCTCGTGTCTGACGACTCGCACTCCCAGCGGGAGCGAGCGTCGAGGCAGGTGCCCAGCGCGTTGGATGAGGCCAGACCTTCTTGCTTTCCGCGCCGCGTGAAACTGCCATGTCCAGCCTCACCTCGAACACGTATACAATCGCTGCGATGAGGAGCGGGTGGCAGTGCTGCACGAACTCCCTGAGGCCGTGGGTGGCCATCGCGAGGTCGTCGAAGAAGAGGCAGGTGTCGGTCCATGGGAACTGGTTGACCACGTCGTCCAGCTCCATGATGATCACCATCTTGAGGCAGAAGAGGGCGTGGCGGCTACCCGCGACGATGCCCCGTTGCCAGGCCTTGCCTTCGGTGTAGTATCCGTCCATAACGATGCGCCACACCATGCTGTAGATGCACACGACGACCCGCATGATGATGGAGTTGAAGCCCCAGCGCCGCGCTGCCTCCCACACTTTCCTGTGCGCCACCCACTCGAAGCACTTGCCCAGGTCGAAGTAGGTGACGGCGTAGTCGTAGCCTTCTGTTCGCGCCGCTTCGCAGCACAGCGCCTGCAGCCAGGCAGCTCGCTCCGACGAGCGTCCTCGGCGAGCCCAGCCATGGGCCCTCGTGTTGGCGGCCCCCCAGCGCCGCGAGTACAGGATGCGGATGGTCCCCCACACGCGCGCCAGCTCGGGGACGAGGCCCGGGTTGCGGAAGCCTCCCGCTGGCCTGGCCATGAGGTAGAAGAGGATGGTGGTTTGGCTTGGGCCGTCGGCCACGGCACTCTCTTCTGCGCGGCGCGCCCGCGCGCGTCCAGGACGTCCTTGGGGGTGATCCTCGGGACGGCGTGCTCGTTCAGCTCGAAGCTGGTCGGAGCCCGACACCGCGGCTCGTCGGGGTTGCATGGGGTCGGCCCAGACCTCCTCCCAGCCTTCCAGCGCAGCGTCCTCTGCGGCCCGCGGGTGGAGGAGCTCGAACTGCTCGTGCTGCCCCGTCGGCTTCTGCGGCCCCCACTGCACTGGCGGCTTGGTCCACGCGTGCAGCCCCTGCTCCTGCTTGGCTGTGCTTGGCAACCCAGCGGCGCCAGCCTTTCGCCGACGCTCGGCGCACCCATCCCCATGTGCGCTTGCTGGCCACCGCCAGGGGCTTGGACGCGCACTCGACGTAGTGCGCGCCTCTGGCCGCGAGGGTGAAGACGTCGATCGCAACGACGGTGTTCGCCAGCTTGGTCCAGTCGATGGCGTGCCACGTTTGCCTCTGCCCCGTCGGGAGACGGCGTTCTCCTGCCGTTTCCGCCTCCGCCGACGGGCCCTGCGAAGCCGCGAGGTTGCGGACAGCAGAGGTCCGAGGAGCAGGCTCTGGGAGGCTCGGGTGGTCTTCCTCGATTCGGTACGTGGTGGCAGTTTCGGCGTCGATGTTGTGCACTTCAGCGTGGTCGTCGTTGGCGCCCTCGTTGCTGTCGACCTCGTGCTCGAGGCCGTTGCTCAAGGCTGGGGTTCCCGCTCCAGTAGCGGCGCGATGATAGGATTGCTGCCGATGCCATTGGCGTTGCAGTGGGCCCAGTTCAAGGTGTCGGCCTGTCCTGTTTGCCACCGCAGGCGCGCGGCCGCGGCGCCGTGGCCGAACCGCCGGCCTAGCCACTCGGCCGCCTCCGCCCACTGCTGCTCACGCGTGGCCTCCTCGGCATTGGGCGACTGCAGCTTCTCCCATGCGTAGACGGGGGTCTGCTGGTGGCCCTTCCTCTCGCACAGCTCGGTGCCGTCGGAATTGCGATACCTGTTGAGGTGGTCCTGGTAGGTCGTCGCGAACTGGCTCCAGTCGCTGCCCACGACGTACATTACGTAGGTTCTGGAAACGCTCTGCCGGAACGAGATGTTGCCCATGCTGTGGCCAGGCATAAATCTCAGGCTGTAGCAGTCGAGGCCGCGAAGTCGGCCCCGATTCGCATCCCGTGGATATCTCCGATGGCCGCCGCCCCAGTCGTCGCAGCACTCGCGTCCACCTCGGGGGCAGATCACCTGGCGCGCGGAGCAGGACAGGTGAGGGCGGAGCGACGTTGTAGTTGTCCTGCGCTGTTGCAGTGATGGCACTGTCGGCCAGCGTCTTGGACATGATGAAGGAGGCCCCGTGGCGGCCTATCCCCGTCGCAGTGCATGGGCCCCTGTCA